CTCCACCCTTCCATCTAATCCCTTCGATTGCCTCCTTGGCCGTTGCAACAACCAGGTTGATTGCGTCCAGGGTTGATCGTCCTTTCCGAAAACCATACTGGTTGTCTGCCAGGAGTGGATCGACCACTGCTTCTATTCTTTGGTGGATTATACGCTCAAGTATCTTACCTGCCGTGTCTAGCATACAAAGTGGTCGTTAAGATGACGGTTCTTCTGGTGGCTTCTTCCCTTTAGGTAATAGTACCAATCGTTGCTGTTTCCACTTACGAGGAAAAGTCCCCTCCTTAAGGCATGCATTATAAGCGTCTAGGAATAATGTTGGAGCTGCCTTTATGATGGTTTTTAAGGCGAAATTAGGGATTCCGTCCAATCCCGGCGCTTTATTATTCCCTACACGGTTACAAGCCTCCAGCAATTCTTCTTCAGTGACAGGTGGGATGTCGTCCAATTCGCCTGGCGCCAAGTGGTAATCGAAGTTGCGTTGCTGTGGAAACAGTGCAATGATAATTTTCTGAAGGAGTTGAGGACACGTAGGTGATGGCATTTGTTGTTTTTTCAGGTGGGTCATAACCACCTTATAAGGCCTACCCCACACGTCTTTATCCACCTCGTATATGAGCTCTTTCCAGCATCTTCTTTTGCTCTCTTTGATGGCTTTATTCAGTTCACGGCGGGCCTTTTTGTACTCTGCAACCAGTTCCACAGAGTTAGTTCGTCGGTAGCCACGCTGAGATATTCTTCTCTTTTGATGACACTCTTTACGAAGGGCGCTGATGTGGTCGTTCCACCAGTGAACGGAAGGTCTTGTGTTCATGCCACGTCTACGAGACATACTGGCGTCGCACGCCTGGGCCACTCTTTTCATCAGGTCCTTGGTCTTCTCTTCTGCGCAACCCGCGATAATCTGGTCACTATTGAGAGCTACCAGCAATGTACTTGGGTCAAGAGTTTTTACCTTCCAACCAATGGTGTTAAGTTGCTCTTTAGGTCTTCTCGGGCTCTGGGCGTTTAATATTTCCCAGAGAATCGCGTTGTGGTCGCTGGCTGTGTAGGTATCCATCACCTTCCAGTTGATATTACCTCTGGTGAGGCTGCCCCTGACGAAAGTGAGATCTACAATAGAACTTGCGTCTCCCTTGGTGTAGGTTGGTGTGTCACCACTGTTGAGCAGTACTACATCTAATGTAGAAAAGGCTTCTAGTAATTCCTTTCCTCGCGCGTTTGTATGCTTGCTTCCCCAGTCTACTGCCCAGGCGTTGAAGTCCCCAGCTATTGCCACTGGATGGTAATGCTTCGCGTCCTCGGTAAGTCGATCCAGAATTCGACAGTAGAGAGGCTAGGTGGTGCGTAACAGCTATAGAAGCGAATGCCCTCTACTGATACTGCTACAAAGCCGGCATTGCTGTTGTCAACTGCATTTTGGAAAGGGAGCTTGCCACATGACCAGATGACAGCTTTGGATGTGCTGTCAAATTCCCAGGGTTGGGTACTCAGGTGTTTATATGGCTCTGCTATCAGTACCAGGTCAAGCTCTAGTTCTCGCACGGCTTGCATGAGCAGGTCATGCGCTGCCTCACAATGGTTGAGATTGAGCTGCAGTATCCTCATGCTTGTTTGTTCATCAACTTCTGGAGTGCATTCTGAAATACCGGGCACTTATGGGTACCGGCATGGTGGGCAACATTCTCTACACTTTCAATCTCAGCGCATAATGCACATTTAGCTGGATTTTCGCAATCAGCAATCTTGTGCCCTTCTTGTCCGCACCTGATGCAAAGCCTAGACCGATCGACTTTGCTTTTGCACTGGGATCCGAAGTGCCCAAAGTGCCAGCATTTGAAACATTGGACAGGTCTCTTCGTTGCTCTTATTCGACAGTTGGCCCAACCACTTCTCACTTTGCTGTTACCTTCTAGTAACTTCTGTGCAGTTGTCGCTGGTAGCGTCACTGTAGCCGTTTGCGTACCTCTGTAGGCCTTACGGATCTTGATAGCTTCTAGTGGTATTTCGCAAGTTTCTCCGGTTTCCGTTTTCAGGGCAGTCTGAATGTGCTCCTTTGTCGTGTCATCATCAATGTCTCGAATTTCAATCATCTCCTGCGGTCCTTTGCAAATTACTTCAGCTTCTTTTTGAAGAACGTCTGTGATGGCCTTTTGCAAGGCTTGACCTTTGTCAATACTCTTCTTTGAGAGCGTAATCAGCATGTTCCCGGTTTTGGTTTTGTGGATCTTTTCCACGGTTGTGCGGACCTGTTTGTCTGGAACGGCCTGCTTTATACGACGCAATATTCCAGCGTACTTCTCCTTCTCTACCGGACGGATGATCAGAGCGTCAGGCCTAATCCACTTTCGTGGTTTTTTCCGCTTAGGCTCTGGCCTGGGCTCCTTCGGCGGCTGCTTTGAGAGTTGCTCTCTAGCTAGCCTTCTCTTCTCCTTCTTAGACTGTACTTTTTCCCAGTCAATCGTCGTCTTCTGAGGTTCGTTGCCCTGCTCTGCCAGTCGTTGAGGAGGGCTTTTTTTCAAGTCCTTCTTCTTTGCTACTTTGTCGGTTGGCTCTGGTGAGTTTCGTTCCTTTCTCTTTCCAGGCCTTTTGTCAGTTTCACCCTTCTCTTCTGCGATTGATTCACCGTCACCTTCGGCTCCGGTGTCCATTGCTTCGTCAGTTATGGCGTCAACTTGGCAGGTTTCCTCCTGTGTAGCACGCGAAGTGCGCAGCAATGATGAGCACCAATCTTCGTCCAGTTTCTCAAACCTTTGAAGGGCGTTAGCTACACTAGTCGTCTTGGATTTTATCTCCTTGTGGATGTTGACCTTCGATTGGACGAAGTCATTCAACTCACTGGTCAGCTTTTTGAGGCGTTCGAGCGCTTGTGACCGCTTCATTTCAGCGCTTGCGTTAATCGCTGCTTGTTGGGCATGAGGCCCGTTTCTACTCTTGTTTGTTTCCTGTAAGTTACTCATACTTTTTGATTCACCAGCGCATCGTACGGAGTGGAGCGGGTTGTCATAACTAGGAGCGGGTGTACCCTCGGAGATAGTACTCCTACCCCAGTTCCCTGAGGCCTAGCCGACATTTAGCCAGTCCCGGAATACACGGACGGACTAGACTCGCTCGGGGCGGTGAAGATTCCGATCTCTAACACTCACTGCGTACTTCCTGATCAAGGCCCGAAGTGACTGGCTCCTGATCCACTACTGCAACTTACACCTCGGCAGAGCAAGCTCACATCAGCCGTGGCCTGCATCGTCGGAAACTACGATACAGGTTCCGGACACTTCCAGTGAGTTACAGCAGGGACCGATCGTCTTGTTAGGTCAGTTAGTGTGACCAACCCATTAAAGGGGAGTTTTGTCCACGGGAGCGTATTTTGTTTGGTTATTTTGCTTGACTCCTATCCGCTGTACCCCATCAACTAAGAGATTATCCAAGTGTCATCCAAGGACAGCGAGCGTTCTCCCATCCGCTCGGGGAGACGCGCCCGGTAGCAGTATCTCTTTTGCCCCGAGTGTGTGTGTGTGTGTGTGTGTGTGTGTGTGTGTGTAAACGTCTCACAACTTCGGAACGACTTGACCGATTTGATCGCAGATGGTGTCATTCAAAAAGGCTCTGCAAAACTTAGATTTTCTGTAGGTGGGAACCACTTCGGACCGATAGATTTTGAGAAATTGCAAAAAAAGTGAAAAAAAGCACAGAGAGCTCAAAATGACACGAAAATTATATTTTTGAGTTCAAAGAGCTCAAAAACGTTATAAGTGCAATTAGAAATAAATATGCGCTTAAATATAAATATAGCGGGAAGTCGCAGGGATGGCCTTTAGGATCAACTGTTTTTCTTATTTTTGTTACCATAATTTATTTGTTAATAAAAGTTCTAGAAATTATAAAATATCTGCTCAATTAATTTTCATGGCCTTAACAGCGCAGTTGGTCTTACTCAGTTTCATGCGCATAGATAACGCTCTTGCGCTTCCGCGCATAGAGCACGGAAAAAAAATATTGTTAAAATAACTGTCCTACGTATCCTCAAATGACGTTTCCTTAAAATAACAATCCGGTTTTCTGATATAAGGATTCATTTGTTTCACTCAAGCATACAGAGAATAGCTCTTGGAATTAAATGTAGTTTCATCAAAACAGGCAACGGCTTTGTTAATTTGAGGATCTGTATAGTTAAATCAACTAAATATAACGCCTTAAATAATGAGTCACGGAAAGAAATTTTTTTTCAAATTTAATGTTAAATTGACGAGAAAAATTACCGGTCTGTACTGTAATCGTGGGACGCTGAGTCACTGTTTTACCATTTACTAGTAACAGCAATACTTTTTAAAGTTGTGTGGGTAATATTTACCGGAGACTACTGTAAATTTTCAAAAGAGCGATTCTTACACAATTTTTACTCTAGTCCACAGTAAAAATTGAATGTCGCATTTATAAATTTTAAAATAAACTTACTTTAAAAATTAGTTACATAATTTTTTTTTTTTTTTTTTTTTTTTTATTAAAAATTCATTGCTATAAATTTCTTTTAATTATTGGTTCATTTTATGACTGTTATCATTTTAATTTTATAACTAATTTATTAAATTTATATTTTTGTTTTTATTGTAGATTTAAAAAACAATATCGATTAAACTATTATTTAAGGATGAGGAAAAGTTTACAAACAATTTGTTTTTCATTTTTTGAAAGTACAATTATTGGTTTAAAACCAATTTTTTACAATGTATAATTTCCTATCAATTAAACGAATAATATGCGTTTTAACACAGCCATATCATTGATTGAGATCAAGAATAGTCTATTCATGACAATTAATAACTATTTCATAATATTGCTTATGATAATCTAACATACAGTTTTAAAAGACTTGAGCAATAAACTTTAAATCATCACCACCAGTACTCTTATTGCTCTCAATAATAGAATTTTTTTGACGAGATAAAAAACCGGCCCATCTTCTGAAGGCATCGTTATCATCGTAGTTGGAAAAAAATGAACTAATTCAAAACATATTTTTTGACAGTTCGAATATATTTTAAATATGAAGAGACCAAATTTTGGTAAAAATCAAATTCGGCCAATGAAGTAGTTAAAACTTCTTCGATATCATTTTCAGAATGATATGTTGATGTATATTTATTTGGCAACAGACGATAATTCAACTTAAGCTGATTCTTAATCATTATTGTACGGCATACGTTGATACGACAAGTAGCTGCATGGGATATAATTTTTTCTTCCCTATTTTTGCCTTCATCACGCATACCCCATTGGTCTACGAGTGGCCCAGAAACTGAAAAAGTTCTACCGTAATATAATAATAAATGATGTTTAGGTTTCAAGCTATCAGGAAATGAGGAATCTAATAATTCTAAGTACTCAGTTACTTTATCCTTTAAAACATAGGAAAAATAAGCATCATGATTAGAATAAATCAACATCTCTACTAGTTGTTTAAGATGTATCAGTGATTCCCATACTGCATCATCTTGCGGTACAAAACATCCGAATATTAAAGAAAAATGTCTCACCAAACACAGCATCTCTGAAACAGACATTATTATTTTTTTTTTAAAGTTGACTTTTAAATTTCCTGAGGTTTATTTTTATTATGTCCATAATCGAAACCTTTAATAAGGATATTTGCATATTGTAGAGTAGATAATTCTTTTGTTTTGATCAAATCTAACAAGATGAGACCTAAATGATACTCATAAATACCCTCCAAAACATCATGCATGATGTCAACTGATAAATTTTTGGTTACGTGAAAAACAGGGACATCGTGAAAAATACAAGCAAGGTTCATTGATTCCTCAATCTGTATTGTTTGATAAGAGATCGTCGTTATAATTAATTTTAGTTCTCAGAACGCATTAACTTTCACGAAAAATTTTTTTGAATTCAATTTTCTTTACTTTGCAAAACTTACAAAATGATGATGAATTAAAACTTTCAGTAAATCCTAACATCGAGTATACACCCAAGTTATCACCAGTTATCAACGCTAATTTGAAGTATATCTTAACTTGTTCTCCAGAAAGGTCAATTGTTATGCCTTTTTTCTCTAATAGTTTGAGTTCATCTAAAACTACAGAAAAAATTTTTGAGTTTTTAAAAATTTTGCGATCCAAAGTATTAAACAAGATAAATAAAAATATATTTTCCAATTTTGATGATAAGTGTGGAGGTAAACATGGAATTTTTAAATAAACTGCTCCACATTTTGAAATTCCTCTGTGACTGCCTAATGGATTATTTTCGTAATCATCAAAATATAGGAATACAGGAAAAACAATGTTATCTTTAAATTTTGATGATAATTCTCTCCATAAGTTGCTTTGTATAAAGTTTGAAATGAAAGTTCCATCTATTAATAATGAATTTACATATTCCATGGTTGCGTCGAGAAGTCCAGGAATTTCAAAAAGTTTTTGAAATACATGTCGAATCAAAATAAATTGAGCAGTAACTAGAATGAGTTTCAAGACTTGATGGTTTTCTTCGTGAACAAACTTTTCACGTTCTCCGAAACAATAGGCTATTGGTTCTATAAAAGTATTACACTCCTTAAATTTTCTTAAACAAAGTTGCTCAGTCTTTATTTCCTCAAATGAAGATTTACTTTGCTTAAAAACTTCTTCAATTTTTTCCATTATTTTTTTATCATCCAATGAAGTTGCTTGAAGAACATTATTTTTCAAATTTTGTAATGAATTTTGTAAAAATATATCAGCGTCACGAATAATACTTTCTACTTTGGTCCGAGGAATATCAAGAAAACTATGAAGTTTAGCTGCAAACATGACTGAAGGTTTCATGGTATTGAGTTTAGAAGGTTCTATGATATCATCTTGAGATGGTTCAATAATATCATGTGTCTGAAAATTATTCACAGATTCACCATCGTCAGAGTTTAAATTTTCTGTATCTATATCATCAAAATAAGGAAAATTTATTTCATCCATGACAGTTTGTTCTTCCTGATCTTGTGAAGTAATCGGAGTATGACTACTGGTAGAAGCAGAGTTGATGTTATTTTCATGTCGTCTGAGATTTCGCAATTGTTTGTTAATGATTGCATATGCTTAAGTTTTAAATGCTTACGAAACAAATCAAAAGATGCAAAAGTTCTTGGACAAGTGAGAAATCCACATTTGTAAACACTTATATGAGTATGAGAGTATTGTACATGACGAAGAAAATCCTTACCATTACTTAGCCTATCCTTACAATCATTACATAAAAACGTTATTGAATAGATAATTCAAGAATAAATAATATCAATAAAATATAATAATGCAATTCAATTCATGAAACTTATTCACCTTCTTCTTTATCCACTTCTCCTTCATTATTTTCTAGGTTTTCTTGCTCAGCAAGTAAGCTGAATTTCCTTTCAATTTCACCAACTAATGTATTATTTACTGATCTATTACAGTTATCAGTACTCAAAATAATGTTATAAAAAGCGATTTCAAGAAAAATAAATAACGACTCAGTTTTTTTTGGGTATGCGCAGTCGAAAGCGTAATAAGTTTGAAATAACAAATTTACAGCATTAACAACTGACTTACATTCATAATTTTAACTATTTATGCAAACGTATACTGATTCTATTGCTGCACATGGACCAACGAGTACTACTACAGGTTGGAATGGCAACTGTGCAGCCTGCAATTTCGTTTTGTGTTGATCAATCGCTAAATCAAGTCCAGTTGCTACCTAAAAATTATAAATAATCGTAATTGATACAACTGTAAACAATTTAAAATGTTTTAAATAATAAAATATTTTTACCTCGACGTGGATGACGAAACAATCTCTGCGTTCTTGAAAACTTACAGCTTTACTACTTGTGGATTGAGACGGGTTATTTTCCGATTTTTTCTTGCTTATTCGTGTGCCATCAATCAGATATGGGAGCAAATATAAAATAAAAGCTGTTGTGTTGTCTGAAAATAATTATTAACTTACAAAATAAACCAATGTTCAACTCAAAATACATTTGTTTAACACTTACTCTGCAATAACGACGGTAAAAGAAGAACCAAAGCTTTAGCGGTCAAATTTTTTATTTTTTCACATTCTCTTAACTGTTCTTCTAAATAAGCTTCGACCACATTCCATCGATCTTGGAAGTTTTGTTCTTTTTTCGGGTACAAAGTTTCGAAATCAAATCTAATCTGTGATTCAAAATTAAATTAACATCAACTTATGAGTAACAAAACTGAAATTCAATAACTAAGACTTACCATTCGACTCACAAGACTAGTGCTTAAGCATCCAAATTTAGAAAAATATTCTTCGACTCAAATACTAGATATTAACAAATACCTACGAGCATTAAATGTAAGTTTCCATACATAAATAGCAGTTTGTTCTGGAGTAATATGATTTTCTAACCAATCTAAATTTTCTTTTTCGACTTCTACAAAAAAATTAAAAAAATTATACGCCGTTGTTAAAATCTATTATTGAATAAATTCAATCTTACCACTTGGTTTATAGTGTAGAGCAGGTAACAAAGGTTGGTGAGTCCGTTTTAATAACCCTTTCGCTTTCAATGTTCGTTTAGAATATTCATAATGTTCGTATAAGCATCCTGATGGATTAATACACCTTTTATTGACCTTTCTGTACGGAGTATAATAAGTAAAAGGGTTTTTGAAAATTTGGCAAATGTGTTGACTCAACTCAACGAACCTTTCTCGTTTAATTCTGAAAAACAAAAAACCCAAATTAATAAACACTGCAGTTTTCATCAAGAAATTCATTAATATTTAAATTGATTTACTTGAATCCATTAAGTTGATGACAGTCACCATCAGGATCAACATTTTGAAAGTGACGATCCTTCTCGTTTTTAATAATAATTCTAGATAGTAAATTTCTCGTACTTTTTTTTAATCTTTGGGCTTTTTTAAATGAAGTTATCACAACTTTTCTATCAGTGGATTTCATTAACAAGGCTACACGTTAAGTGTTCCCGGATAAATGATTCCGCGACAATAATCCCCCCGACATTGTATCCCCGATCTTGTCACTGACTTATCTACACAATAAATTTAAAATTCAAATTGATATTTGTTATTGCTGTAAGATAGACGGTGGCGTTCACTCAAGTCACGTTTAATAGGTGACTGAAGTAGTTACGGACAAGGTCTCGGATAGCTTAACTGGTAGAGCCTTCGGTGCGTAACCGAACGATCCGGGTTCGATTCCCGGTCCGGGCTATCCGAATTATATTTTATCGGTCACCAAAAAGATTCCTACTGAGTGAAAAAAGGTGTTCCCCTTTTCCCCTTATCCTTTATTCACCCAATTCCCAAATTCGTCGCGGACATGTGACGCTGACACAGCATCGCGGAATGTAATGTCCTGGGAATCAAATGATCTGGAATCAAATTCCTGGTATCAATTAACGTGTAACCCATTAACAACTTATAAAGTGGCTGTAAACATAACTAAGAGTTATATTAATAATATAGCTAGATGTGCATATAGAAATAATAATATTTTGAATGAGACATTTGTTTTAAATAAGAATAAAATAAAATATTACGTGAATGTTGTCAAATTCAGAATTTTGCTGATTTCTAATCTAAAACATTAAATAATTTGTTAGGGTATGAAAATAAATTTTCAATTGTATTTTTTAAAGGTAAATTAAATTTAAATTAAACTAATTATTTTACTTTATTTCTTGAATTTACTCTTTATAGATTTATTTTCATCCCGTTTTGCAAAAATCGAGTTTTCGTTAGATCTCGAAGTTTTAAGGTCATAGGAAGCTTGCTTGACTACCCTTGCGGGGTTGTCACTATGACTGTTTGTGTGGGTGTGTGTATGTGTGTGCATGTGTGTGTATGTGTGTTTTTTTTTTCTTAGGGGGGAGGATACTTTTCACGGATTCTAGGAATAGCTGTTTGGCCTAGATATGTGGCGACTTGACGCAGCGTCATACTAAAACTCGACGCTGACGGCCCTACCCACTAAACCATAAACCCCTTTTTCTTCTATCCTCTGATCCCCCATGGTACCGCCGCAAGGCATTTTTTCGCGGGGGGAGAAGTTAGCTGCCGCTCTTCCTTCTGGTGGCTAAGATGTTATTTCTTCCTTCTAGATTCTGTCTTTCGCTCTTTTTCTCTCAATAGATCAAAACTCGGTAAGCACTTTTGTAGCAAAAGTGCTTGTGGCGTTCCAGGCAGCTTCTGACGACAACATTGCTTCTACTATTGACTCTGGTTGGGTTCTCTTTTTCGGAATCTTCTCTAACTCATCGCGCTGTTGGTTGAAACGTGGAGACACAAAGAAAACATGCTCCGCATCTTCATTGACCCCTGGACAGGACAGGCACTCTAGGGTATCATCGTGCTTAACCCTATAGAGTCAGAGGATCTTGAAATGTTTCCGCGTGGGAGTAGTGGGGAGAGCGCAAATCCGTAGTAAGACCCAAGAGTGGGGTTTCTAGGTCAGACTCTAAAGGGTTAAAGCGATGAAAATACTTCTGGTAAGATCTGTGTCCTGATAACATCTGCGTTAAATAATAGTTGATCTCACCGTGACTCCGGTTGAACGACACATCAATCCGAGGTATGAGACAGTAGGTCCACCGACCTTTCTCTGCAGCATTCCAGTCCTGTTGCCATCTTGCGATGCTGTTTTGCGGTTCTTCCCTTTTAAGTTCTTCAGGGCTCAGTGCGGTTGACCTTTTTCGTTAATATAGGTTCCGTCTATCCTCAGCTAGGACTCTGAAAGGCAGAGTACCGGAAATAACACACACTGCTTTCTCTGATATTGTGCAGAAGGCGCTAGCTACTCGTAGGGCACTCAGTCGATATACTGGTTCAGCCTTTCTTCATGATTCTTGCGTCTTTAGTGCGTCGGCCCAAATGGATAATCCGTAAGTGAGCACGGATGTGACTACTGATAACAATAATAGCCTCCTGCTCTGCTTTGGGCCTCCGACGTTCGGCATCAGTCGTGCGAGACTAGCCCTCACTACTGACGCTTTTGCACTGACATGCTCCACTTGCTGCTTTAAGTTGAGTCGGGCATCAAGCATTACTCCCAAATATCGGATATAAGGTTGTGATGTGATTTCTTGTTCGCCGACTTTCAGCTTAATGGTCTCTACCACTTTTCTGCTAGTAATAAGTACTGCCTCAGTCTTATGGTGCGCCAGTTGCAGGTTCACTGCGTCCATCCACCGGTTGACGCGCTCAAAAGTGAGATCGAACATATGTTTTATCTCGTCAACGTGTTTAGCAACGATCACTACAGCTACGTCATCTGCATATGCTACGAGTTTGACGTTCCTTGGCAGAGTTAGTCTTAATAGACCGTCATACATAATATTCCACAGGAGCGGGCCTAGAACTGAGCCTTGTGGCACACCTTTAGTGATATCATACTCCCTCGGAACGTTCTTCGTGTCATACTTCAGGACCCTGTTTTTAAAGTAGTTTGCTACGATCTTAAGAAGGTATTCTGGTACATTCTTCTCTTGGAGGGCCTGCATGATGCATTCCCAATTGGCAGAGTTGAAGACGTTTCTGATGTCTAGGGTCGCCACCAGGCAATACTTCTTCGTTCCACCCTTCCATCTGGTTCCTGCGATTGCTTCCTTGGCCGTATCAACAACCAGTTTGATTGCGTCCAGGGTTGATCGTCCTTTCCGGAATCCATACTGATTGTCTGCCAGGAGTGGGTCGACTACTGCTTCAATTCTCTGGTAAATTATACGTTCAAATATCTCACCCGCTGTATCTAGCATGCAGAGTGGGCGGTAAGATGACGGTTCATCCGGTGGTTTCTTCCCTTTAGGTAACAGTACCAATCGTTGCTGTTTCCACTTATGCGGGAAAGACCCCTCCTTAAGGAATGCATTATAAACGTCTTGGAATAATGTTGGAGCTGACATTATGATGGTTTTCAAGGATATATTAGGGATTCCGTCCAATCCCGGCGCTTTATTATTCCCTACACGGTTACAGGCCTCCAGCAGTTCTTCTTCAGTGACAGGTGGAGTGTCGTTCAGTTTACCTGGCGCCAACTGGTAGTCGAAGTTGCGTTGCTGTGGGAACAGTGCGGTGACGATTTTCTGTAGAAGTTGAGGACACGTAGGTGATGGCATTTGTTGTTTTTTTAGGTGAGTCATAACCACCTTATAAGGCCTTCCCCAAACGTCTTTATCCACCTCGTTGATGAGCTCTTTCCATCATTGTCTCTTAAGTAAGTAAGTAAGTAAGTAAGTATGTAAGTAAGTAAGTAAGTAAGTAAGTATGTAAGTAAGTAAGTAAGTAAGTAAGTATGTAAGTAAGTAAGTAAGTAAGTAAGTATGTAAGTAAGTAAGTAAGTAAGTAAGTATGTAAGTAAGTAAGTAAGTAAGTAAGTATGTAAGTAAGTAAGTAAGTAAGTAAGTATGTAAGTAAGTAAGTAAGTAAGTAAGTATGTAAGTAAGTAAGTAAGTAAGTAAGTATGTAAGTAAGTAAGTAAGTAAGTAAGTATGTAAGTAAGTAAGTAAGTAAGTAAGTATGTAAGTAAGTAAGTAAGTAAGTAAGTATGTAAGTAAGTAAGTAAGTAAGTAAGTATGTAAGTAAGTAAGTAAGTAAGTAAGTATGTAAGTAAGTAAGTAAGTAAGTAAGTATGTAAGTAAGTAAGTAAGTAAGTAAGTATGTAAGTAAGTAAGTAAGTAAGTAAGTATGTAAGTAAGTAAGTAAGTAAGTAAGTATGTAAGTAAGTAAGTAAGTAAGTAAGTATGTAAGTAAGTAAGTAAGTAAGTAAGTATGTAAGTAAGTAAGTAAGTAAGTAAGTATGTAAGTAAGTAAGTAAGTAAGTAAGTATGTAAGTAAGTAAGTAAGTAAGTAAGTATGTAAGTAAGTAAGTAAGTAAGTAAGTATGTAAGTAAGTAAGTAAGTAAGTAAGTATGTAAGTAAGTAAGTAAGTAAGTAAGTATGTAAGTAAGTAAGTAAGTAAGTAAGTATGTAAGTAAGTAAGTAAGTAAGTAAGTATGTAAGTAAGTAAGTAAGTAAGTAAGTATGTAAGTAAGTAAGTAAGTAAGTAAGTATGTAAGTAAGTAAGTAAGTAAGTAAGTATGTAAGTAAGTAAGTAAGTAAGTAAGTATGTAAGTAAGTAAGTAAGTAAGTAAGTATGTAAGTAAGTAAGTAAGTAAGTAAGTATGTAAGTAAGTAAGTAAGTAAGTAAGTATGTAAGTAAGTAAGTAAGTAAGTAAGTATGTAAGTAAGTAAGTAAGTAAGTAAGTATGTAAGTAAGTAAGTAAGTAAGTAAGTATGTAAGTAAGTAAGTAAGTAAGTAAGTATGTAAGTAAGTAAGTAAGTAAGTAAGTATGTAAGTAAGTAAGTAAGTAAGTAAGTATGTAAGTAAGTAAGTAAGTAAGTAAGTATGTAAGTAAGTAAGTAAGTAAGTAAGTATGTAAGTAAGTAAGTAAGTAAGTAAGTATGTAAGTAAGTAAGTAAGTAAGTAAGTATGTAAGTAAGTAAGTAAGTAAGTAAGTATGTAAGTAAGTAAGTAAGTAAGTAAGTATGTAAGTAAGTAAGTAAGTAAGTAAGTATGTAAGTAAGTAAGTAAGTAAGTAAGTATGTAAGTAAGTAAGTAAGTAAGTAAGTATGTAAGTAAGTAAGTAAGTAAGTAAGTATGTAAGTAAGTAAGTAAGTAAGTAAGTATGTAAGTAAGTAAGTAAGTAAGTAAGTATGTAAGTAAGTAAGTAAGTAAGTAAGTATGTAAGTAAGTAAGTAAGTAAGTAAGTATGTAAGTAAGTAAGTAAGTAAGTAAGTATGTAAGTAAGTAAGTAAGTAAGTAAGTATGTAAGTAAGTAAGTAAGTAAGTAAGTATGTAAGTAAGTAAGTAAGTAAGTAAGTATGTAAGTAAGTAAGTAAGTAAGTAAGTATGTAAGTAAGTAAGTAAGTAAGTAAGTATGTAAGTAAGTAAGTAAGTAAGTA